CACAACGGTTAAAGGCTCAATTACGTACAAAACAAAAAGTCCGGCCAGGACTGAAAGCCGTAGTGCTTACAGCCAAAAAGGAGGCCAAAAGTCCAGGGACAAAGGTTTGTGTCCCAGTGCCAGGGATCTAGCAGCAACACTCTCTTAAAGGCCACTAAGTCTACTGTTCCCAAAGGCTGCCAACTCCTGGATGGGCTACATCAAGACGACCTGAGCTACCTCAAACAAGACCCAGAGGTTTGGGTTTGTTAGGCGCAGGGTGGGCCTGCAAACTCTTTTCATCCGTTGTTCCTGATGTGCAGCTGGACACCACTAACTCTACCCAGCTCCCTCCCCAGTCAAAGTTCACCAACACCTCCCCAACCCCGCTGATCCAGCCTCCACTGGAAAGTTCTGTGGTCACGTATTAGATATACCGGCTTAAATCTCAACAAAACTCCTGGAGTAGCGCTGTCCAATAGAACTTTCCGCAATGATGGAAATACAGTGGCCACTAGCCATGTCTGCTTCCTGAGCACTTGAAAGGGAGTTAGCTCGTTACATAAATGAAGCAAGCACAGCTGCTGGATCCCTGCTCTGGGCACCACACTTATTTTAGCCCAAGGTTCCCTAACTTTTTGGCAGGCCCTCATCAGTGTTGCCGCCTGCAAACTCATACTCAACTACAGTACTTCTGTCTTTTCTCGGTGCCTGCCTCCCTCTTGCCCTCTTTATTTCAACTTAAATAAAGGACCCTATATCGATCCCTATCCGTTTTCACTGACAAAGCACTGCAGGTTCCCATCCTGTGCTGACACATCCAGGAAGGTGGGCAACTGAGTTCCCAGACGCAGTCTGAGAAATCGATTTGTTTGCCCCACTCTCTTGAAAGGGATGCCCATCTCCATGAGGACATCTGCAAACTGAAATTGCCTACACTCTCTAAACGCAAGAGCACAACCACAGTGATGCAACAGGATTTGACAATTGCTGTTGGCCAGCCCACAATTTGCAAAATCTTCTGTAGATTCACCAGCCGACTTGGTAGAGTTTGAAGGGTAGGCTCCAACTCTGCACAAAGGACATCAGGGCCTTGTGTCCTGAACTGAAGTCCCAACAAGCAGACTCCAAGAGATCAAAATTCACCTGTGATTATTGTGGAAAGCCTGTTAGCCCCAAATTCATAGGGGACCAGCAGCCTCACGTGTCAAGGTGATCCCCGGAACCTGAGAAAGTCAAACTGCATCAACCCATCTTTTTTACTGACAGATTCTTGAACTTGTTCATTTTCACAATCCTTTAAACTGGGGCTGGCTCCTAGATTCATCATTTTATCCTTGAAAAAATTAAGAAATTAAGAAACAAGTTTAAAGAGCCACCTGAAAATACACACCCGGGGCAGAGCTTAGACAAACACTCCAGCTGCCTGACTCCTCATGAATTCCTGAATGTCTCATCCGTTTCTCCATACTGCCTGCCTTACTCTTTCATCTCCAAGAGGAAAAAGGAAAATGGACCTAGTAGAGACTTTTAATTAGACTAAAATCCTTCAGAAATTTATTGAAAAAGCAGAATTACATAGAATTTAATGTAGTAAAATATGTTAAATCCTCAATATATTCATTCTGCACCCCTAAATAGTCATATATGGACATTAAACAGTTCTCTTCCTAGATAGAACTATGTTCCAAAAGGAAAGGAATAGTTTGACAGTGTACAGTAAAGTTTCTAAAGTATTTGGGGAAATCAATGTCAAGTAATAACTCTAAGCTTGCACTCATCTGTAAAAGTGCTTAGCTCATCTGTGCTCCACAATGAACACAAGAATTTACCAACCAAATTCTCCACTGGATCTGAATACAGAAATTCAAGAGTTTTGGCATAAAATCTCATTTCCAAAGCATAATTTTAAAAATACGATTCTCATTGTCCAGCTACCAGTTCTATCCTTCACCATTCATTTTCATTTCTCTTTTAACTCTATTCTCCGGAACTTCATATAAACCACCTTGCTCACATAGACCTCAATGATCTCATCAGCAAAACAAAGCAAACACCACCTTTCACGCCAAAAGTTGGGAGACCAGCCAACGTATTGCTAGGGGACCTTGGCACTGCTAAAATCTATGTCTTAGTTCCGTCAATTTAGTAATGTGTCTTTCAAGGCTTCCTTTATTCTATTTAGCACACCTAAAGTGCTAAGGTTTACCCTAACAGCTTCATGTTTTTACTTCCTAATTTAGATTCCTTTACTTCACCCACTATACACAGGCTTTCCTGGCTTATGTTGAACTCCCGACTTTTAAGGTAATCAAGAATACTATTACATGAACTAATAGAAATGACCACAAAAATGAAAAAGAAGAGAACTGCAGAAGAAAAGTAAGAAAAACAGCTACCATATTACAATAATAAATACAGAAAGGAAGGGTGGTAACAAGACCTCATTTTGAAAGAGATCATTACAGATATACAGAAAAGGGATTAAAAAAAAACAAGAACAAACACAGGGAAACAGAAACAATGTTCATGGATGGGGAAGTCAAGAAAGTAACTAAATGCAAATAAAAAAGGCACATTGGAAAAGATCAGGCAGTAAAAAACGACTTCAGAATCACATTGACTTAGTCATTAGGGAAGAATCCCCACAGGGAACCTGAAAAAAAAAATTTAATCTGCCTCTCTGCCCTGGGGCAGAAGTGTGAGCAAGTCGAGGGCTGTCCGCCCTGATTTTCAACACCCTCCACCTAATGACAAACTCAGGCCACTGCTCTTTCATTTCTCAGGTAAAAGTGCCTTGTTTTTAAGACTTCTGTAGGAAACGGTTGCCGGTTCTTGCATGTCCACTCTAAACGGCTTCATCAACAGATGATTTATTCACGATAAGTAGGGTGACCAGATTCTCCCAGTTTGCCCAGGTTTAGCCCTGAAAGTTCTACATCCTTGGAAACCCCAGTCCAGGGCAATCCAGAATGGTTGGTCAGGATATATGGGAGCATCTTCCTGATCTTTCCACTGGCCCAAGGAGTCAACTGTCACTGCAAAGTCTTCTCTCTAAATTGCCTCTCTAGAGCCTAAATGCTCCTCCCTGCCATTGGTCTCCTTCAAATGTGTGCCTCCTATCATCAGTCAATAAACTCAGTAACAAGGGCAAAAACTGCCTCTCATTCATATGTACCACACACCACCTCTTGGCACACTACTGATGAACAAATATTTCCAGTATTTCTATCAAATATAAGTCAGTCAGTTTCACAACTTCGAGCTTGGTCTATGGGGCCTCTTGAGTCTCCCTACAACTTCAAAGTGACAAAATTCAGGACACAAAATTGAAAAGTGAATTTTGAGTGTCTTATATTGAAATCTATGTTTACGGATCATGATTCAGTTTTTGGCTAACAAAATGTAGCATTTTTACATTCTGGAAGATGGAAGAAGAGCCAAAAAGCAAAACCTGATATTTCTTAGATGTCACCAACTACAGTTTCCTATGTTTCTCCATTCCTATCAGAAAAAACCTGCAAGGGTGAAGTCTCGAAAAAAAAAAAAAAAAATGCCTACAATGTCACTTCTGTTCTCCACTCTTTCCAAGAACCGCGGTGAGGTCTGGTCACGCAGCGTGAGGGGCGCAGGTGCAAAAGAGCAAGTGCAGAAGCCATCTCTTGGCCGGATCACCCCAGCATCTCGTGGGACCTCCTCCCTTTAGGAAAGTGCGAGTGGGGGACCAGGAAGACGCAGGGCCCTGACCAGGTGGCTGTCCCCCGGGGGATCAGATAAGCCAAAGGAAGGACAGCGGGAGGGGAGCGAACGAAAGGCGAGGAAGCAACCGCTCTGCAGGGTGGGGCGGGAGTGAGGGGAAGGAAGGCGCAGGAACGGACCCGGAGAGCCAAGGACAACGCGACGACCCGGCACAGGGTGCACCCGAACCTGAAGGACCTGGCAGGTGCATACAGCTTGTCGGAGCCCGTTTCCTCCTCGGAAAAACAAGTTTCCCTTGGAGATTAAACGAGAGGGCATTGACAACGCGCTAGGCACGGCATCCCTCCAGGTTACTGTTACCGCCATCGCCGCTGTCCAGCAGGGTCGCCCTCCGCTCCTCGCCGCCTGGCTCAGCGCCGGGTCTGGGAGTCCGGCCTACCTGCCGTCCTTAGCCTCCGGGGCCTGGCCATCATCGTCCGTGACGACCTGCGGCCGCAGGGGCCGGCGCTGTCGCAGCCCGTCCGCCTCGCTCATGGCACCGGCTCCCGACCTCCCACGCCACCAACCCTCACAGAGCGGCGCCGACTCTGGCGCCAGGCCCGCCCTCCCCCGCGCGCGGAAATGACGTTGCGCCCAGTGGCCAATCCTCAGCGCCGTCCCCGCCCCTTCCGGCTTCGTGGGCGGGCGGTTTCCCGCGCTCTTGTAGGCGAAGAGTGACCTCCCACGAGCGCGACGCGGAACCTTCTTAGAACGCGCACCTGGGGCTGCCAAGGTGTCCGCTCGTCTCTCTCCGGGGCCCGGGACGCGAGTGATTCAGCCTCGGCTCGCCCGGCCCAGCCCCTGCGCATGCCGCCTTCGTCTCACGTTTCTGAGGAGTGGAATACTGATGACGCACTTGGGAACTGCTGGCCAGAGATGTTGGCCGCTTTTGTCGTTAGAGAGGATGGCGCTGTTTATTAAATGACAGAGACACCGTTCTTACAGGCAGCGTCAAAAACGCGTTCACACCCTTGGAACGAAGTCACCCCCTGCCTGAAAATTGCATCCTTCCCCGACTGACCCGGTTAAGGGGAAAACTTGGGCTAGAAAATGTTTCCCTCTGGTTAAGGCCTGATGTTGAGTATTAAATCTTTTGTGGCTGTTAAAACAGACATTTGATAGAGTTTATTAAAGGATTAGCCTTGTCTACGGCCATACCACCCTGAACGCACCTGATCTCGGAAGCTAAGCAGGCTCGGGCCTGGTTAATACTTGGATGGGAGACTGCCTGGGAATACTGGGTGCTGTAGGTTTTTAAAAAATAAAAATAAAATAAAAATTTTGAAAAAGAAAAAGAAAAAAACAGGATTACCCTTAAGTAAAGCCAAGGTAGAAGTAGAAATTACCACTAACAAAAGCTGAGAAAGCATCAAGAGGCATCTTTCTTCAACAGTATTGTAGTGAACCAGAAATGTTCCCAGGTGCTGGGAGGTGATGGTGGGCGAACCACAGACAAGGCCTCTCCTTGTGGCAGTTAAACTAGTGGGAAGGATGACTTTAACCAGATCATCATCATAAAATAGACATGTAACATTATCAAACATAGTGATTGCTTCCAAGGGGGAGAACTGGATCTTGTGAGAGCGATTGACAGACAAAGGGATTGAAAGAGGAATTGAATCTGGAGGAAGTGACAGGGAGTGTGTCCAGGCAGAAGAAATCAAAGCCTGTTACCAGTGGCACGAGGAATCCTCTCTGGAAAAGCTCAGTTCAAAATGCAGAGTTAAGAAATAATTTCTTGGAGGATTTCCTGATAGAAACGTGCCATTGCCTTTTTCAGTGACAGGTGGCACTAGAATTCCATGTGAATGTTTTTTATTCATTCAAAGAGCTGAAGAACCAGCTTGAGGAAAGTGTAGAGCTATGCAAATCCAGTTCTGCAGAGATCCCAGGTAAGAATTCAGGCCTCAGCAACATTTTACTTCAGTATGTGTCACTGAGTATCGTCAGTACAGCTGTTAAATCCAGGATAGTGTTAACAATGTGCTGTGTGGTCTGACGCCTTCCTGCCTCTGGACTATCCCTCTTGCCTGCATCCCCCATTTCAGATGCTCAGGATTGTTTACCGTGTCTAATCTCAGGCCCAGCTGCCTTTGTCCTTGAGGTTTCTTCTTCCTGAGATACACTGTCCTTCACCAACACTTGGCTAATTATTTTTGTCATTCAGGACCCACTTCAAGTATCCTTGCTGAAAATTCTTCTCCCAGTTTCCCAAGCAGAACTTCTTCCTCTTTGTCTTCAAGGCTCTTTAAACATGCCCCAACTGTAACAGTGAGCCCGTTGCATTGTGTTCCATGCCCAGTGTTAAAGCCCACGCACGTCAAACAGCCAGGGACACATTCATAAGAAAAATAGAGGCAGTGAGTTGGGTTTACTGAACTTGCTGCAGCGAAGAAAAGCACCAGAGGGGCCGGGCGTGGTGGCTCATGCCTGTAATCCCAGCACTTTGGGAGGTCGAGGCGGGTGGATCACGAGGTCAAGAGATCAAGACCATCCTGGTCAACATGGCGAAACCCCGTCTCCACTAAAAATACAAAAAATTAGCGGGGTATGGTGGCTCTTGCCTGTAATCCCAGCTATTCGGGAGGCTGAGGCAGGAGAATTACCTGAACCCAGGAGGCGGAGATTGCGGTGAGCCGAGATTGTGCCATTGCTCTCCAGCCTGGGTAACAAGAGCGAAACTCCGTCTCAAAAAAAAAAGAAAAGAAAAGAAAAGCACCAGAGGATCTGTAGGGCTCCAAAAGATGGGGGAGTCATGAGAGTCCTTGTGGGGCTTGGGGACTGGAGTTCGTCCAGTCATAGATAGTCTTGTGGGGGATTGGTCAGAATTCCTTAAAAAGGGGAGCTACCTGAGGAACCAGTGGCTTTATCTCTTGGGACGTGTAAGCCCATTCGGAGTTACTGGAAGGTCAGCTCTTGGGCTTATCCTGAAGCACATATGTCTTCTTATGAAGCATGTAGGTAGCTGGTGTTACAGAGGTCTGAACTGATCATCTGTGCTGCACAGCACGGGTTCAGTGCAGTTTTTCTGTTTTTGACTCACGGTGAAACCCGCTTTGCTTGTATTTGTTTCAGTTCTCAGGTCTCCCACTCCACCTTCCAACCCAGCTGCCAACCAGACCGACTTCATTTCTCGCCGTGCTGAAACCAGTTATTGGCAGAGGAATGGAACCACTGTGATGAGTTCGATCAGGTTTCTTGGCACCACTGACATTTTGTGCTAGATAATTGTTGGTCGGGAAGTGGAGGGGGCCCCTCTCCTGTGCCCTGGTGTTTCAGCAGCATCCCTGGCCTCCCCCACTAGATGGCAGTAGCATCCCACCTAGTCATGATCATAAAAAATGTTGCCAGACTTGGACGAATGTCCCCTCGGGAACAAAACAGCCCTTGGTTGAGAAGCACTGGGTTAGACCAGCCAGAACCCACCCCCGGCCCTGGAAATGGGGCTTGCTTCCATCATAACACTGACCCATGTGGAGGGTGTTTATCTCAACAAAAGCAGGCCTGCCAGTGTGAAAGAAGAGGCATGTGATGCTGGCAGCCGTGTGATGCATGCCAACCCACATTGTGCCTCGCAGCTCAAGCCAGAAGCAAACCCTCCTCCTAGTCCAGCGCTTTGTCCCGTCCCATGCTGTTTCCACTCCTTCCACGGAGATTTCCTGAAAGCCTGCCAGGTGCCAAGTGCAGTGACAAAACAAGGGTGAAATACAGGGATCCAGTCTGCACAGGCGTTGTCATCTGGGAGGGGAAAAAGGAAGCCTAACAGTGACCACTATCGAGCTGCCCCAGAAGAGTGCAGCGTGCCTGGGGCTGCGAGAGGGGACAAGTGCCAGCAGACGGGAGTGACCAAGGCTTCTTGGAGGAAGGGTCCTTGCACCAGGACTTAGATAAGTAAGATTATAATGAGTGGGTTGGATGGATAGAGAAGGACAAGAAAGAGGCTAAGAGGGAAGAGCAGGGTACCCAGGGATCGTTAAACAAGAGGGTGATGTTCAAGGATAGACATTAGGGGTACTGAGTGATAAGGAAGAATAGCCACAAATATATACCCCTGTATGTACCCACAAAAAAAATTAGATTTTTTTAAAAAAAAGAAGAATAGTCTGAAAAGGGCAAAGCAGGGCAGGAAGTAGGTGAGCCCCTTCTTGCCCACAAGTCCAGCAGAGTGCAGAGGGCACCACTGACTCGGAAAAGGGCTGCAAGGGAAGTTATTCTGCCGTGGTGGGAAGCTCTCGTTTTAATTCAGGTGGGGCAGTGGAGACAGTAGAGTTAGGTAGTGTAGATTAGTTTGTTCATGGCAGGAAAAGCACCTTAGAGATCATACAGTTGCCAGAAACAGACACCGGCTAAAACCAGCAGAGGATAAGAAGGATACATTGAAGAGTCTACCTTATGGATCTCAGGCTCTGAAAGTACCGCCAGGCCTCACGGGGACCGGAACAAAGACCTGGGAACACGGGCAGAGTCACCCTCCGTCTCCCGGTGCCTCACACTGTCCTGTCTCTGCACCCCTCCGTGCCCACAAGGCGGCGAATAGCACACCCTGCTGGGCTGGCCCCTTCTCTTTTGCTGCCTCCCCTGGAGAGCTGGAAACCAGCAGCTGCTACTCATCCAACTCTTAAAGCTAAGGCAGCCACAGGCAGTATTTTGCCACAAGATAAAAACAGAAATCTGGGGATTCTTTTGACCTTTAGGAAAGTTTTTGCATTTCTGATAAAAGGGGCATATGGGACTAGTGCTGCCCCTTCTTCTCCTGCCTGGAACCCAAGAGTTAAGCATGGAGCAGTAGCATCTTAACACCACGGGAAAACACCTTGATGTCTAAAAAACACAGCCAGGACAGAAGAGCCGAGGTCCTTAATGGTGCCCCTGAGCTGTTTACCTCAGCCAGCACCTACCTACCTCTGGGCTGCCTGTCACATAAGAGGAACAGTCCTTTATGCATTGAGGAGCAATTTACACTGCCCCTCAGGGCCAACAGGCTAGCATTTTCTGCCTGGACGCGTGCATGGTAAAAAAGCATCGCCTAAGCCCAGCTTTCCCTGGCTCTCCCATTTCAAGTATCCCACACCAACTAACTGTAGTCTCCTTCTCCAAGTCTAGATTCCTGGAGTGAGAATCTGAGGTTTCAACTTTGGTGAGGTTGATGAACCATGTTAGAGGACAGGCCCCCGGGGCCCACTGACCATTCAGTGGGAACAGCACAGCAGCCTCCCCGTTGAAGGGCAGGACAGGCTCACTGACTGTGCGGTCACCCTGTGAGAGGGAGGAGCAGAGGTGAGCACTGAAAAGAGGCTGGCCGGGAAAATTGCCCTAATTGCCCATGAAGAGGATTCTTAAGGTTGACCTAGACTTGGCAGGAAAAGTGCTCAAAGGAAAGACGCTCAGCAGTCACCTCCACCATGGGCTGGACAGTCGCAGTCACCTCCACCGCGGGCTGGACGTTCGTATTTGTCTGTTATTGGAAAGTGAGCCGCCAACCCCTTCATTCCCTTTGGAATCTTAACACCAACATTTCATGATTGGCACAGAGCACTCATTAATCGTGTTTTATTACATCCAGAAACTATCTCTTGAAAGTAACTGCACTTGACCCTTGAACAACACGGGTTTGAACTACACAGGTGCACTCACTGGAGAATGTTTTTTCAATAAAAGTTACACCGGCCTCCCCTTCCACCTCCTCCACCTCTTCTGCCGCTGCCACCCGAGACAGAAGCAATCCCCCTCCCTCCCTGCTCCTCCCAGCCTACTCATCGTGAAGACAGTGAAGATGAAGACCCTCGTGATGATCCGCTTCCCCTTCATGAGTAGTAAAGATACTTTCTCTTCCTTATGGTTTTTTTTTTTTTTTTTCTTTTTTTTGAGACGGAGTTTCGCTCTTGTCACCCAGGCTGGAGTGCAATGGCGCGATCTTGGCTCACTGCAACCTCCGCCTCCTGGGTTCAGGCAATTCTCCTGCCTCAGCCTCCTGAGTAGCTGGGATTACAGGCACGCGCCACCATGCCCAGCTAATTTTTTGTATTTTTAGTAGAGACGGGGTTTCACCATTTTGACCCGGATGGTCTCAATCATTTGACCTCGTGATCCACCCACCTCGGCCTCCCAAAGTGCTGGGATTACAGGCTTGAGCCACCGCGCCCGGCCCCTTATGGTTTTTAATGGCATTTTTTTTCTCTAGCTGAGTTTACTGTAACAATACAGTTTATAACACATAGAACATACAATATGTGAGTTAATCCACTGTTTACAGCTGTTAGTAAGGCTTCCAGCCAACAGTAGCCTATTCAGAATTAAGTTTTGGGGGAGTCAGATGTTATATGTGGATTTTTCAGCCACACTAGGATTGGCACCCCCAACCTCCGCTTTGCTCAAAGGTCAACTGTAATCATTTCCATTTTGATGATGACTGTCCTGCTTTTTTTCTGTTGGTTGAAAAAACTTATGCATATTTGTAAGAGTTCAATGTTTCCTTGGTTCTCAGTAATGAAGAGATGTGTGGTTTGGGTAAGGTCATGTCCTTCTTTAGGAAAGAAATTGCCCGAGGTGTTTGTTCATTCAGAAGGCTATGTGGCAGAAGTTTGGATCTACAGTAACAGAGAGATGAGAAAACCCCAGATTACCCAACTGGTGGCTCTTACCAGACAAGTTCCACTCTGTTTCAGAAGAAGTTGAAAATGTTAGTGATCACAACAGGTTTCCAAACTCAGGTGCTGACTGGTAGTGTCCTAGGGTGTGGGACACCCAGCTCTCTCCTGTCTCCTGCTTCTGGGTTTGTTTAGGGTAGCTGTCTTGCCCTCTGGCTTGTCACCTCTCTGGCCAGGGATGGTTCCCTGTGGTCCAGTTCCAGGGGCACTAACCAACAACTTTTCTTGTATCTGGAATGAAGACTGGCACAGGTGGGGGCCTCAGTTTAGCTATTAGCAACAGCCACCAGAACAGAACCAAGTGCAAACTTGGGCCCTCACAAGTGGAAAGTGTGGGGAGTGATGGCATTCCTCTAGCATGGCTGAGAGGGAGCAAGTTGTGAGGGATGCCTTCACTCTCCCATGGCCTTAATAGAGGGAGAAGAGCTAGCTGGACAGCTGAGCAAAAGCATGACCCTTCTCCCTACCCAGACAAAGAAACTGGGCCTGTCTTCTCTGTTTCTTCCCTTTCTGTCCTCCAGAGAGCAAGGTGGGGGAGGGTACCCTGATTTCCTCGCTCTGATGCTTGTGAGCCAAAGCAGCAGGCAGGAGGGCTTTCAGGTGCCACATGGGGCTTGCCTTCTTCATAGGTCTGCCCTATGCCTTCAGAGCTGTTCATTCCCCTCCCGCCACCGGAGAACTCCAGAGCTTGAGCTGGCACCTCCGTCCCCTGCCTTTCTCCACCAGGCAGACCGGAGCTTGGTCCTTCCACTCATCGTCTAGGTCAGGGTGGCGCCTGTTCACTCTTCATTCTGCAGATACCACTGGGCACTTGCATGTGCCGGGCACTGCTGTGGGCACTGGGGATTGGGATCGGGGTTACTCACCTGGTTTATCAGTATCTGACTGTAGACCCTCACTCACTTCAGCAAGTGCCTCAGAGCTCCCAAGTCTTTATAGGGAAGCAAATCTGGAACACAAGTCACTTGTGAACTCACAGGAGAAAGGTCTCTTGAACTCAGTAACTGACTTTAAGCATCTGTGTTTTCTCAGGGGCCCAGTCTCCTGCTCCACTCTGTTTACATTCACACGCCAGAGAGGCGAACCTAAGGAGATGAGCGCCTTCTCCTTCCCTTCCCACGGCTCAGATCCTGCTTCTCCGGTTTCCTTCCTTCAAGTCCTTGTGCCAGGAGGCTATGGCAGTGTTGGGCTCCATAATGGAAGTGTGGGCACCTTCACAATGGCAGCAACTGGACTCAGAGGCATTCCACAGAATGGGGAAGAGCTGCGTCTGCTAGGCAGCAGAGGCAAAGGCTTCAACTGGGCCTCATGCATTGCAGCTGTGCTTGTGTCACCCCAGAAGGGCTGAACTTTAAGTCAGTGGCTCTCAACTTTGGCTGCATGTTGGAATCATCTGGAAAGATACCTGTGTCCCACCCCAGAAATTCTGGTGTCACTGGTCTGGGGTATGGCTTGTGCATTAGGAGTTTTAAAATACTGGTGGAAGCTCGTTTTGAAATAGACTAGCACTTTAAAAGCAAATAGAAAATAAAGAAATACATATAGCATTCCAGTTTGGGGAACCTGAGTCCCGTGTCTCTAAGACTGAAGACCTTGAAGAATAACTGCCACCACCACTTGGCACTGGGGGCCGAGGGACTGCTGGCCTGCAGGAGACACCTGAGATGCAGTGCTGGGCTGGGGGGCAGCTGCAGGGATGCAGGTGAGACGCTGAGGAAACACCCCTCCCCTCGCCTGGGCTGGAGCTCTGCCAAACTTCAGAGCACTTAAAGTCATAGGAGAACATGCTCTCTGACCACAGTGCAAATAAGCTAAACACCAATAACAAAAACTAAATGTTTAGAAATTTTAGAAATAGGCCAGGTGTGGTGGCTCATGCCTGTAATCTCAACACCTGAGGCAGGTAGATCACCTGAGGTCAGGAGTTCAAGACTACCCTGGCCAGCAAGGTGAAACCTCGTCTCTACTAAAAATACAAAAACTAGCTGGGCGTGGTGGCATGCACCTGTAGTCCCAGCTACTCAGGAGGCTGAGGGAGGAGAATTGCTTGAACCCAGGAGGTGGAAGTTGCAGTGAGCCAAGATCGTGCCACTGCACTCCAGCCTGGGTAACAGAGCGAGACTCCATCTCAAAAGAAAAAAAATAGAAATTTTAGAAATATATATTTTTCTAAACAATCCATGATGAAAAGAAGTCACAGTGTCAAGTGGAAAAGCCAGAACTGCACTCCCAAAAGGGAAGAGGCCTCTGCAGACCTGGCCCTCCCACAGGGTAGCTGGGAGTAGGTTGGATAGCCAATCTGTTTGCTCGGCAGAAATTTCTTCGTGGAATAGCAGAAGGGTATTGCAGTGATGCCAAGTAAACACGGAACAGGAATCCTAGAAGCTAGAGGAGGAGGAAGCCTTGCCCAGAAGCCCTGGAGCAGCTCTGTTTGTTGATTATTTTTGTAGCAACCAAGGGAACACTGGTGAGCACCCTACAGAGTAACCACAAGTCAGCACCAAAGTAGTCAAGTAGCTGGCCGGCAGTTCTTCACAGCATTTGCTTTTCTTCCTGAATTTGCAGTTTGAGGGAGGCAGCTTGCCCTGGGAACTCTGCTGGTAGGGCAGCATGCAGCACAGTCCAGAACCCCTTTCGTTCTTTGTCACACCCTCCGTGCAATATTAAGTAGGAAAGTTGTGTTCATTTGTACTCATCTGCTGCTATAACTACATATCATAGGCTGGGTGGCTTAGACCACAGAAATCTGCTTCTATGGAGGCCGGGAAGTACAAGATCAAGGGGCTGGCAGATGGGTGTCTGGGGAGGGCCCTCTTGCTGGTGTCCAGATGGGTGTCTGGGGAGGGCCCTCTTGCTGCTGTGCAGATGGGTGTCTGGGGAGGGCCCTCTTGCTGCTGTGCAGATGGGTGTCTGGGGAGGGCCCTCTTGCTGCTGTGCAGATGGGTGTCTGGGGAGGGCCCTCTTGCTGGTGTGCAGATGACCGTGTTCACTGTCCTCACCTGGAGGAAGAGAGAAGAGAGAGAGGAAGCAAGCTCACTTCTGTCATTTATAAGGGCACTAGCTCCATTTATAACAGCTCTACTCTCGTGGCCTAATCACCTCCCAAAGGCCTCATCTCCTATCACCGTCTTCTTTTGGGTTAGGATTTCAATATACGAATTTGGGGAGTGAAGTGGTGCAAACATTCAGACCACACAAAATTTGTTTCTACCTGTTTGACACCATAGAGAAAAACCAATCAGTATTCACAGCCCCAGAAATGATATACTTATTTGGTTTAATCCTGTTATATAGCAAATTCCCCAACAATGAAAAAAGGGAACGTTATGTAACTGAGAGTAGAAGTCACACTGGCACACCCCCCTTGAAAAAAAGTCACAGTCTCCAGGAAAGCTTCTTCCTGGCCTGGATTTAGGTCTTGTTTCCCCTCAAAATACCAATTAGTAGGGCTGCACGAAGTTCAGCAGGAAGATACCGTAAAGAAAAGAAAGCGCTGCCAGTATTCCTCCAAAGCTGTCCCAGGAAGGGGCAGCACATCTGACTGAGCATGGAGGTCAAGAGTGCAGGCTCTGGAGCTGAACAAGCTCCGTCCAAGTCCCAGCTCTGCCACTCCCCACCTCTTCTGCCAAGTGGAAGAATAGTGTCTGTGTCAGAAGGCAACGTCAGGGTACGATGGGGTCATGGAATCTGAAACCTGCCACAGGGCCTTTCTTGTGTGCAGTGCTCCATCAATGTGGGTCTCTGCCATTGTTCCCTGGCATTGGCTGTTGTGGGTGGGGTGGGTGCCTATGAATGCGCTCTGTAGGCACTCCCACACCTCGAGCCAGCCTCACCACGTTCCTTCAGCTGGGCAGAGGAAAGGGGGGCAGCGGATTCATGGTGCCTTTTCAGCACCGTCAGCTGGCAGCTGTGGGTGGGCAGGGTGCACACATGCCCAGTGGCAGCACATGATCTACCTTCAGACAGACATGTGTGGTCAGCTCATGAACGCTAGCCGTGATTTCATGTTTCTTTTAATGTTTAAGAGACACATTTCCCTCTGGGAATTAATCATTTCCCTTTGAGCACAACAGCTTGTGTTGTAGCCACTTAAAGTGGAAATCACTCTTAGAAGGTACTGCTCACGGCTGCTTTCTGCATCTGGACGTCATCTGCCTTCATGACTGTGGTCACTACACACGTCATGTGTCAAGCTGGCCTGTGGCCATCTTTGAGCCCCAGTCTGGGGGTTCCTGTGTCCCGCTCTCAGCTCTCAGACGCCTCACCCCTGCGGCCACTGCTTTTCTCTCGGTGGCACTGTGGGGTCTCTGTCAGGACATTTCAGTTATGATAGAAAACTGAAAAGGAGAAGCGCAGTCCAGGGGCTGCGCAGGGCTGGGGGTGGGACTGGGCCTCAGCGGGTTCCCCTGGGCTCCGCTTCTTCTGTGCCGTTCTGTTCTCAGACCAGGCCTCCCTGCAGTGACCACCTCCTGTGTTGCCCAGCAGGTGGAGGGCAGCAGTCCCTTTCCCGAAGGTGTCATGTTCCAACAGCGCCTTCTGGCCAGGCCTCTACCTGTCATTTAGGCTGGGGACTATAATGCTGGGAAGAACCGTCACAAAGCCACCCCTGCAGCTGGAGAGGATGGTTCCCAAGAGAAATGAGGATGGCCCTCCCATGAGGCAGGGTGGGACAGTCTGGCTTGTTGGGATGCTCCGTGTGGCCCACTCACAGTGTGCTGGCCCTGGGAAGCACATGGCCACACACCCTCCTGCTGAGGGGGCCGATCTCACCTCACTACCCCCATGCCGAGGGCTGCCCTTCATGCATTCAGAGTCCACCTCAGATGGGCACCTGAGCCCCCAGACTCCCCATCCACATCCCTGTGCCCATCCGAGTCAGGGGTGCAGGAGGATGCAGCCCCCGAGGACAGCCCTTCCCAGCTCCTGCTCTGGAGGCCGCAGCTGGCCCAGGCCTCGCAGGAGCAGACCCAGGCCACTGAGATTCTGCCTCTGGGCACCGACTCAGTGTGTCCTGCTGAAAGACTGGCCCACTCTGGCAGAGGGATGACCCAGGGACCAGGCCGTGCTCCTCATGCATGCTGCCCAGAGCCAGTCTGCCCCCTCGCTCTATCCCAGTGCCTGTACTCTCGCCCAGTCCCATCTGCGGACCTCCAGGTGATGGTGGCAGTGCTCCTATTTGACCTGCTCCGTGTGGTCTATGGGCACTTGCAGCCTGGGAACTGAATTGCTGTTCTGTTAAGTTACAGCTAAATGGCCACATGTGGATGGTGCATCGGCAGAGTCAGCCATGCTCGGTAAGGCAGGTGAGCTCACCGAGGAGCAGTCAGGGTTGCCATGTGAACCTCCCAGGAGAAAAGGCCCCTTCCAATTTTGTCTGTAGAACTACATTCAGGAAAATTTTTTTTTAAAAAAAGAGTATAATTATTGGACCAAAAAAAAAAAAAAAACACCACAAACAGAAAATGAACAAAATAGAGCTTTATTTGAACTCCCTCCCCTATATATCATTCAAAGGCCTGGGACCACGTCCAGGTTCCTGTCAGCAACATGGAAAGCTAAGCCATTTCACAAATGCACAGCCATACCCACAACTACAGACCCCCACGCCCAGGGCACAGCTCTTTGTTCCTAAGCCTGTGACAAAAGACCACCACCCAGGATTTGTGTGTGCTGCAGCCAGTGCCACCTCCTGGGCATCGTGGGCACCCACCCAAGAGACCAGCACAGCCACAGCCAACTAGATAACTGGGTACTCAGTAGCCCAGACACCCCCGAACACTGCCACAGGCCCTGAGGGGAAGACTGTGGGGCAAAGAGGACAAACTCTCCCTGCCCTAAGGGACCCGGCTCACTGGGCCTCCTTCCCTTGCCAAGCGCCAGCCCCTGCATGCCTCGCTGGGAGGTAAGCACCCGCTAGCCTCGTGATTTCCATTATCTTGCTAATGTTGGCAGCACCTAAGGAACATTAAAACAGAGAGAGGCTGGATCCAGACCTCCAAGTTTCACCCTTGGACTTCAGTGGGTCTCACTGCCCCAACCACAGAGTGAAGGTCGGGCAGCATTCGCCAGGACCTGGCTCTAACCAAACTGGTGCTCTAACAAGTCACCTGAGTTTCCAGTAGCTGCCCCGAACAGCCCACCTATTTGGAGCGTGTTGCCTCTCCTACCAGGAGGAATCTGGGGACACAAAAATCTTTCTGGGTTACAGTGTGGAGAAACAGAACATGACTGAAGCAGCTTTGGAACTACGGTGGGTAAATTTGCCCCATCGCTTAGGAGTTCGCTCCATTATATGCAACCAAGCACAGGAGAAACCGTCACCAGGAAAGGAAACTGGAGGCTTGGAAGTTCTCAGGGAGCTGTTCAGACAGGTACAAACATCTGCAATTCAAACTTCCAAACACACTAATAGTAATTAAAAGTGCGGCCTCCGATCCTCACGTTTCTCCACCAGCAGAGGCAAAAAGGAGATTCTCATAACTGCGTGTTAAAAAGAACATGTTCAAGTAAAGTCACACACTACATGTGAGTGCTGCACGCTGTTCTTCCACAGCATAAAAGTATAGAAATACAATTTCTGCCCTTTGCATCTAGAAACATCTGGAGAAAACATGGTTGCTCCTAGCTCTGTGTTACCTGAGCAGGTGTGCCATCCCAGGGCCTCACTGTCCCGTGCTGGCTCAAGAGGGCAGGGAAATGAAGATGGCAACACCTTTTCATTCCAGGAAACCAAGCTCAGGATGGCAGAACCAGCCCTGGCCAAGTCAACAGCCTCTCCACGGGTGACACTCCTGGGACTTCCAACGGACGGGAGAAAGGGATCCTAGCCCAGCTTCCCATGAGGGCGGTGCGGGTCACATGTGGGGTGGGGACTGCTTCTGGGACTTAGGAAGACAACAACCTCAGGGCTACCTTAGGGGCAGGACAAGCCAGGGCTTGGGAGCTCGCCCCATCCCAAGAGCCCCACAAGGCGCCAGCTCACTTGGCAGCCGCCTGCTTGTCCTTGCACTTCTGGTGGGCACGCAGGATCTCCATGATGACAGTGGGATCCTCCAGGGTGCTAGTGTCCCCCAGGTCATGGACCTCACCAGTGATGATCTTCCTCAGGAGTCGCCGCATGACCTTTCCAGACCTGGTTTTTGGAAGACGTCTCACCACCTGGCAAGGAATGGGCGCAGTGTTAGAGCATGGATGGTGCCCAGCCTCCGTGCCAGTGTGGACTGCACTGAGATCAGAAGGGCTCGGCTCAGCGGGGACGCCCTCCCAGGGATCCACAAGGGATGTGTAAGATTCTACCCCAGAGAACGGCGAGGCCCAGGGTCTCGGCTTGACCCTCACACTATATGGGCCTGAGCTGAAACCCACCCATCCCAACACCCTCCACGAGGCAAGGTCCACCCAGGCCATGTTCACCCCACACTGCCGCCTGTCTGTCCTGCCACTGTGCCACATGCAGGCACCCAGGTGGCAACAGGTCCAAGCACCTCATCTCCATTCCCTGGCCTGGGACTCAGCAGGTTTTGTCTTACATAAGAGGTGAGAACTACGGAAGATAAAAGTTTTGTCTTAACGTTTGAAAAGCTAGCATGGAGCATTTTCAAGCAACTCGGCCCATTCACTGCGAACGACAATACATTACGAGCTGTGTTTGGGATCTTCCACAGCGACCTGTCTTTTGAAATAGTTCAGTTCACTTAGGGCAAGTCCAGGTCTCCTGAAACTCCGGTCACTGGGCCAAAACTGTCAACTCTCGTAATACCAAATGGAGCTGCGCGCTGCTGCCTCCAAGGGCCACCAAGCCTGGAGTCACCGCAGGCAAGGTTCATAATGGAGGGAATTGAAAGCCACGGGCTGACAAGGCTGCCCAATCCTCCCCCGATTCCAACCCCTCGGGAGGAGTCTGCAGTTTCCCTCACTGGCACCAGGAAAAGTGATCAGAAACCACACCAGGGCTGGAGAACCCCGCGGCTGTCCCATGTCTCTAATGAAAGTTCCTAAGGTTCTTCACCAGCAGCCCCGTTTCTGTGACTAGCCTGCACACGCCAACATACGAGAGCCAAAGCCTGCCTAGGCGACCTCCTGGACAGGTGAGCTGTCTGAGCATGGAAGCCTGCGTGGGCGACCTCCTGGACAGGTGAGCTGTCTGAGCATGGAAGCCTGCGTGGGCGACCTCCTGGACAGGTGAGCTGTCTGAGCATGGAAGCCTCCCTGGGTTACCTCCTGGACAGGTGAGCTGGGTGAGTGTGGAAGCCTGCCTGGGCAACCTCCTGGACAGGTGAGCTGGCTGAGCTTTTGGAGCTGCATCTCCTGCCCGGGCGACCTCCTGGACAGGTGAGCTGGCTGAGCTTTTGGAGCTGCATCTCCTGCCCTGTCTCCTTCCTCTGTGACAACACAGTGACCCACCATCCTCACCACCACCCAGGAAAACCAAGTAGCTACTGTCAATTTTGATGCTAATTGGAAAAAAGTAATATGCTCCTAAAGGACCATTGTCACCTGACAGTTGTGGGACACACAGCAGCACAGCCCCCGCTGCGTGGGAGGACCGCTCACCAGGATCTCGTCAGGCACAGCATACTTGGCGATCTTGGTGGCCACCATGGACTTGATCTCCTGCACCACCACATCTGAGTCACCCGCACCGTCTTTCAACACGACGAAGGCAAAGGCAGCTGGAAATAAAGGCAAGTTTGGGGATGTATTGACTACTAGACCACAAGGCCACTCCGAGGCAGAGTGCTGTGCACAGACAGCCAGAAATCCAAAGGGCTGTGGAGTCATATGTTAGTGACATCGTAGCAGCTGTCGTATGTGAGTGACATCATTTGCCACATCTTTAGTTGCAAACCCAAAGATGCACTTCAGTTTCACAAAAAGTGGCAGTGATTCTAACAGCTCCACAAGTGCTCCAGGTGAGTGCTCACATGTGGCTGAGAGCTTGGCATCTCAGCTCTGGTACTGACTGGCTGTGTGTGATCTGGGACATGGGATCTCCTCTCTGTGTCCTCATCTGTGAAATAACCCCTAACATGGGCTGACTGGGGACTTCCATGAGAAGGTGCACAGATGTACAGCAAGTGGGCACCACCAGCCATTGGGGTATGTGTGCAACATGGTGCCATGGGCCAGGGTGACTATTTCGGTTCAATTAAAACAGCAGCTCCTTGGCTGCATGAGCCACACGTCAAGTGCTATTCAGCACCAAGTGCAGCCAGAGGCTGCCGCCCTGACCAGCACAGACATGGAGCAGCTAAGAGTTCTGCTGGGCAGCACTGGGCAGCCCAGATTTCAGTAAAAATGCTAGGTTTGGTTTTTCAGTGCTCTGGCACGTCCAGGAAGGGCTCACACTGTGACAAGGGATCTAATTTGAGTGGAGTTGCTCATCCTGGCACCATCCCTGACAGCTTGCCCGTCCCCGCTGGCCTGTAAGGTGCTCTGTCTCTCCCACGAAGCTTCTATACATGTGTGGCTCTCCCACTGCTCATCCTTCCCAGCCCCATGCCACCTTCGCCCATCTTCACCTGACTGTCTCATTTCCTCAGTGACCTTCTTTCTTGCTCTGTCTGTCTCTCCCCGCTACTCCCGACCCCTCCAGCATGCTAGCTCTATGGAGGCAGAGACCCTCTCCCTCACTGCTGTGTCCCCAGCATCTACAGCCATGTCTGGAACACGGGGGGTGTTCAACACGTGGTTGTTAAGTGCATGAGTGGATGGTTTTCTGAACAAGCTACGATCTGTAAAGATCTACAGCCTTTGCAGGAAAGGCTTTCCCAGATCCATGTGGCAAACTCCTATTCATCCCTCAAGACCCAATTCAGCCACCTCCTTCTCTGTGAAGCCTTTCCTGACTCCACCCATGAAATCTAGTTTATGGCACATGTTGTGCGGGAACAGCTGTCAGGCCCCCTGTTGCCACCCCACTAGGTTGTGAGATCTTTGAGGGAAAGAACATCATTTTTCTCATCTTGGCCGTTGAGATGGGATCAGAAGTGGTCCTGGACTGTTTACTTGTGAGGACGGAGCTGGAGGGAGGAAACCCCCCACATGGGTAGAGGAGCCAGTTAAGAGTCAGGAGGAGGCAGGCAAGGCTGAGGACACTGGAGACAAGAGAGACAAGAGCCCGGCCAGCGGCACCAGAAGCTTGCTGGGTCTGTGTCCTAGACAAGCTCCAGGGCTGCCCTTTCTCAGCACTCGTGCAAAACAAGAGAGTGGGGACAAATACATGACGATATTCACAGGCAGCTCTACAGCCAACCAGGAGCTGTTCATCAGCTCTTCATAATCACAGAATGGATGCTCAGATTCATTAGAAATCAGGAAAATGCACGCCATCACATGCATGATACACAAATTCTCCCCACACATCTGGCAGGCATTACGAGGCCTGGCAACGTGAGACTTGCAACAGCTCCACACATACAGAATGCGCCCCCGGCAGCAGCATCCACAGCAGACTACACCCCAACACCACCCCAACCGACCTAAGGCTGGGCTGCCCTATGACAGACAGTGACTGTGACACCCAGACGTTTGTCTACAGTTCACTTTCCATTGTCCTTCCCTTGATCGTGCACTTGCTTTACGGGGTTCAGTCCAGGGGCTGCTGCGCCCCAGACACGGTGGACCATGCCTGCGGTCACAGGCCCGTTTCAGTGGCCCCAGGAAGTGCTGGCTCAGCCACGAGACTTGGACCCAGATGGGGCTTCCAAATCCCAGAACATACCAGTGCCCTGCGGAGTCCCAGCCAAGAGACATGAAATGCAGGATTTCCCAGAGGAGGGGTCCAGACTCCTACCAGAGTGAGGTACCCTCGGGGGGCACTAAGTTACCCCAGTCACACCTGAGGAACTGCCCTTGTCTCCATCCTCGCTGACCCTCCTGATCACATCTGGACAGGTCGCCATGCAAGGGCTCCACCAGCTCTCTCACATCCCAGGCTTGCCAGCTGAAGGCTGCTAAGGGCATTGTCCATCCGCCCTGTGACCTGATCCAGCCTCATCAGCTGGGATGTGAGAGAGAGCTGGTGGGGCCCTTCCCATGGCAACTGAAAATGCTGTTTGTAAAGCACTGAAATAAATTCTAAATTTTGCAATGGGTCCATTTAAAGAAAGCATTTAAGTAAATAATGGAACAGTGGCACACAGAAGTGCAGGAAGGCAGGTGACATCTGGGACACAGTGGGAGGGCAAGCCTGACCCAGGCCACTGGACAAGGCAGGGGAGGCTGGTCTGCCCAGCAGTGCCCTGGCATGGGGTCAGGCCACTGGACAAGGCGGGGAGGCTGGTCTGCCCAGCAGTGCCCTGGCATGGGGTCAGGCCACTGGACAAGGCGGGGAGGCTGGTCTGCCCAGCAGTGCCCTGGCATGGGGCCAGGCCACTGGATAAGGCGGGGAGGCTGGTCTGCCCAGCAGTGCCCTGGCATGGGGTCAGGCCACTGGACAAGGCGGGGGAGGCTGGTATGCCCAGCAGTACTCTGGCATGGGGTCAGGCCACTGGACAAGGTAGGGGAGGCTGGTCTGCCCAGCAGTACTCTGGCATGGGGTCAGGCCACTGGACAAGGTAGGGGAGGCTGGTCTGCCCAGCAGTGCCCTGGCATGGGGTCAGGCCACTGGAAAAGGCAGGGGAGGCTGGTCTGCCCAGCAGTGCCCTGGCATGGGGTCAGTGTGTGTCTGGGTCACGCCAGGACAGGCAGTGACAACACCTAGGTACTCCCACCCCTTCCCAGGTCCAGCCACCTAGAAGCTGGTGGACTCAAAACAAAATGTGGCCTTGGTAAAGAAGACCATTCTAGTCCCTCATTCTTCATTCCCCGGCATGTATCTGTGTGGTGGGAACCACAGGTCAGATTAGTCCAAAACGAGTCCCAGCGCAGCACACAGCCTGCGCGCTTCAGGCACACAGACGTGGCGGCTGCAGAGCCGGCTCGAGTACTCTGACCGAGACTGTGAGGACACACGAGACTGGACATTTTCCCATAAACTCTCTGTAACAGGGCTGGACGGTGTCCCAACCAGATACACCATGGACAGAGGTGAAAACTCCCCAAGCTTAGCCAAGGCCAAATGGGTCACGGCCACCGTGGATGCATGTCCTGAAAGGACAGCAGAGCCGGGGCATTTCAGAAACCTTGCCTAACACAAATGCTGCTCAGCCTCCTCCCCTGCAGTTTCCACTTGAGAGAGAAGACCACCAACAGCTTGGCCCACAGTATACCCTATCACCCCGCTCTCCAGCGCCTGCCCCTCGTACAGAGGTGCTGCAATGGGCACGGGGTCAGGAACCAGGAAGGAGCTCTGCTCCAAGACGCCCACCTTCTCCCTTGATGTCGTGGGGGTAGCCAATGACAGCACTTTCTGGCACTGCAGGGTGGTCGGCCTGTGTACAACAGAGAACAAAAAGGCAAAATGTGGCGGCCCCTGGTGCCAGAGGTGACTGGGGCCAGGGACTGCCACCCCGACTCAGAGGCCCACAGGGGCATCATGGAGGTGCAGGAGCGAGCGGGGAGGCCCAGCCTGCGCTCACCATGGCGTCCTCGATCTCTGCAGTCCCCAGCCGGTGGCCACTGATGTTGATGACGTCGTCCATCCGCCCTGTGATTTGGTAATAGCCACCCTCGGTTCGGTAAGCCCCGTCTCCAGTGAAGTAATAACCTGCACCACAGCAGGGAGAGTCAGCACCAGGAACCCACGTCCTCAGCTCACTGGGCCCAGAGCTCTGCGGCCCAGCGCGCAGCCCAAGTCCCACCCCCCGGCCCTCCTCGCAGCTCCGATGCTTCTGTGTGCTCCAGAGCACGGGCAGGCAGCTCCAAGACACGGAGACTTTGGGGAGCAGAAGGGACACAAGCAGCGCATCCAGGACGCTTCTCCAAAACACGCTTGAGTCTCGTTTACAAGCTTGAGACTGAAAATCGCTGGTTTCAACAAGACAGAGGAGAGAGCGTTCACGTAAGTTTCCAAACCGCGGACAAAAAAAGAAACTGGGAAAAAACAAAAATAAACTGGAAGAAAACTCCCAGCCTTGGTGACAGTCTTCCAAGGTGCTTCTCCACTCTCCCTTCCCAGCAGCCAACAGGACCTCGCCGTGGGCCTGGCTGCACCGCAGGACAGCCCACTCCCACCTCAGTAACCCCACGGACATCCCGGAGTGGGGACTCACTCCCACTGCCAAGATAAGGAAAGCCAGGGAGGTGCAGCAGAGGGAGAGGGGGCTGGAGTCAAACTCAGGCTTCGGGAGCGCCTCCTCCTGGCCACCGGACTGTGCTGCACTCAAATCCCATTAAAAATGTGTTCTGAGCTAAGATTCCAGCAGGCAGCTGAAAAGGCACGAGAGGGTCCCCGACGGCCTGCTCACCTGGGTAGGCCTTGAAGTAGGCGTCCACAAACCGCTGGTGGTCACCATAGATGGTCCTGGCCATGCCCGGCCAGGCCTGGGAGATGCACAGGGCCCCGGAGACGTTGCCGCCCTCTATGGCGCTGCCCTGCAGACCCGGGACATGTGTGTGAGAGAAAGCCAGCACTGGGTGAGAAGCAAGCCAAAAAATGACCAGCCCTGCCCTCAAGGGAGCTGTCCATAGCTCTCCCGTCTCCCTGAGGAGGGCCCCAAGCCGCCACGTGGCCGCTACCCACTGCACGCTACCAGCGAGGTCAGCAGCCTCCTGCTAGGTACGGACCTGGACACACAGGAGGGAGCTGGGCTGGGCAGGCGGGGACCAAGGGCCGGCGAGCACGTGGCTCCCACACAGGGGAAGCCCATACACACCTTCTCATCCATGAGGACGGGGACAATGCCAAAGAAGGGCCTCATCGCCATGCCAGGAAGGATTTCCGCCCCTTCTTCCGAGGGCCGTGGTGCGATGCAGATGCCACCGGTTTCTGCAGGGAGGACAAGGAAGAAATGCGTGATCGTCCCTGGACCCAGGGACATGTGTATCCCGAGTCGGGGGTGGGTGGGACTGTCCCTCTTGTGGGCAAGGAAACACCTCAGGGGCACGAGGATCTTTGAGGCAGACCAGACGTGGGTCTGGTGCCCTCCACTGCGGATGTAAGAGGGGGCCCCACAGTGGCCTCAGCCCCAGGAGCTCTGGTGTCCCACAGCTGGCTGCAGGCCCCCTCGCCATGTCAGGACCTTGCTTGAAGTGGGGAAGGCCGGAGCCCACCCACTTACACATGAAGACATGGAAAATGAATTGCTTCTGGGGCAGCACCCATTCGACACGGGCCCAACAACAAAAAAAGGTGCCCGCAAATCCTGCCCTCGCGTTATTTCTCTGGCACTTGTCTCTACCAGCCTGCACCAGGGAAATGCCTCAGAGAGTCAGCTAGAGAATCTGTGTCCCAGGTTTTCCCAAGTGGCTGGGACCATCCCGTGGGAACGTCTCATTTTCTGGCTTCTTTGAGGATGAGCCTCAGTTACATTCATTACATCTGTGGTGGTCTCTCGCCATAAGCACCCTAATATGTCAGATGCCCAGAGAAGGGGGGACAAATCCAAACACAATGTCACAGAAAAGTTCCTTTTCCCACTAAAATTTAAATTTAGACTCATGCTCCCTTAGAAGATAGGGCCTGTCTTATCAGATGTTCCCATGTTTAGAAAGGGGCGCTAGGAAGGGACGCGGCCCCTGAGCTCCGGGTGCGTACCAGGCCTGGGGCAGCACGCCTCGGCTCATCCTCACCCAGGCCTGTCGGGGGCACCCCCACCTCACAAAGGAGGAAACCGAGGCTCAGAGAAGTTGTGACCACAGGTCCCACAGCTGGAAAACAGCAGCTTGGTGACCTCCGGTTCCCTCACTCCAGGCCCCAGGGTTTCCGTCTGGGTCAGGTTCCGTCACTCTAGGCCCCAGGGTTTCCGTCCAGTTCCGTCACTCCAGGCCCCAGGGTTTCCATCCGGTCACTCCAGGCCCCAGGGTTTCCATCCAGTTCCGTCACTCCAGGCCCCAGGGTTTCCGTCCGGTTCCCTCACTCCAGGCCCCAGGGTTTCTGTCCGGTTCCCTCACTCCAGGCCCCAGGGTTTCCGTGGCCTCGGGTGTCTTCCATCACACCTGGCATCGAGAGCTTGGACCCCATTCCCAGCCTCACACCCAACCCTACAGACTCAGAACCTGTTCCCCAGGCCTCCTCACCTGTCTGCCACCAAGTGTCCACCAGCGTGCACCTGCTGTCCCCCACCACCGTGTGCAGCCACTCCCAGGCCTCGTAGTTGATGGGCTCTCCCACTGAAACCACACAGGAAAAAAGAATAAACCTGAAGCCAAAAGGAAGTGGCTTTTTGTTTGTTTGCTTGTTTGTTTTTTGAGATGGTCTTGCTCTGTGGTCACGGCTTAGGTAGCTCTTGTGACTGAGGAGGCATAAGGGGGCTTCTGGGGGCTGTGAATTTCTGTAGTACATATAGATGTAAACATCTCTCAAGTTGAATGCTTAATATCCCTACCCTTGGGTATATATTATACCTCAATAGAAAGGAAAACAATATTCGTACACCCTAGGACTCTGTGTCTACCTCATGACGTTTCCACACCAGACCAGCACTCAGCCAGAACTCGCCAGTCTAGGCGTGCTGTCACTAAAACATTGAAATACTCTCTTGCTGGTGGTTGCCGGGACCACCCACAACCCAAGGCCTGTCCCAGCAGTGGCCCCCGCAGCCATGCTGCATGATCAGTGCTGGTCACATGGGTGGCTGGGTGTCTTTGTATCACACCTGCACTCAGAACATCCACGAGGGCAGAGAAATGCCCTGCTGCACTTGTGGGCACACTGGGAGACTGTGACAGCCTGTGCCCAGCCAGCGTGATGTGACCACATGAGCCAGAGCCACGTGACCACATGAGCAGGAGCCACGTGACCACATGAGCCGGAGCCACGTGACCACATGAGCCGGAGCGATCCCCACAGCAGGGCAGATCCATGTGGACAACCTTCAGAGAAACGTCACAGCGTCATAGCACAGTGTGGTAACTTTCATGTTAAAGAAAGCATCATTACAGCTGCATCCAGTACAGGAACTTAACTGAGGGTACGGGGCGGAAGGCACAGGAGCAACAAGGTCCGCTTGAGCAGAGGTCAAGGAAGATCTCAGCTTTTTTTTCCTTTTTTTTTTTTTAAAGAGACAAGGATCTCACTCTGTTGCCCAGGCTGGAGTGCAGTGGCACGATCACGGCTCACTGCAGCCTTGACCTCCTGGGCTCAAGGATCCTCCCACCTCAGCCTCCCAAGTGGCTGAGATCACAGGCATGAGCCACCACACCCAACACCTAAGGATATCAGTTTTAATTACATGCTCCAATTTCTTCTTTTCACAAGAGTGTATCCATGTATTACTTATGAAATTGAAAGTTTAAAAAAGCTTTGAGAAATACAAATCTAGGGGGAGTGTCATGAGTGAGCAGGATTCTGACAACTCAATGGACTAAATGTCGTGAGAGCTGATCCCAGCTGCCTGGTATGGGTCTGGGCTGCGGAATCGCAGCAGCAGGCATGCCAGCACAGTGCTGGCCCTGGCCAAGGTGTGAAGCACACCGACCCCCAGCATGCTCACAGATGCTGGGAAGCCCAGGTGCCAGACATCACAGGACTCCACGCCGCCTGCCAGCGTTGCATACCAAGAACAGAACAACGAGGCATGTGACCAGCACCTGGCCTCCCACAGCGCTGCAGCTGGAACCAGTTATGTAACAGGGATAGGAATGTACCTATAGACAGCTAAATACACAAAACCCAACTGAGCCTCTGCTGGAGGCCGGCCCCCCAGCTCAGGTGTGTTCCAGGTCTGTGGGGACCTCTGGGTGAGGCAGAGGCTGCTGGGATACACATCCCACTCTAACGCAGCTGCCAGAGCACATGCTTTCCCGAAATGCACTCAGAGTGGTACTCCTTGGCATTGGACTCTGTGACTCTTCCTTCAGCAGACAAATCCCGTAAGTGTCTCTGGAAAACCAAATCTTGTCCTTCAGCCCTGTCCCCACCTGACGCCCTGTCCCCACCCGATGCCCGGGGCCCACTCAGGTGGCCCTGCTGCCAACACCTAGAGGATCTGGCAGTTTCTATGGCCCTGGCCACACCGTTTGTTCTCAGTCCCCAAGCACTGGCCCAGGGCAGAGGGGTGGAGCTCAGGTCCCCTGAGCTGTGGAGGGCAGTCAGAATCACAGGGGCCTCTCAAGTGCAGCTCCAGCATGCCAAGACAGACCACCCAAACTCACCTCCTGCGAGGGTCTGAATGTTTGTCCCTCAAATCTCATGTTGAAATGTAACTGCCATCCTAACAGTACTATGAGGCGGAACCTTCATGAGGTGTCCATGCCAAGAGGGCTCTACTCTCACGGGCGGGATTGGTGCCATTATAAAAGGGTGAGCCTGACCTCCTGTTGCTCACTGTCACCCTCTCTTTGGCCTCCACCATAGGATGATGAGCAGGAAGGCCCCGACCAGACGCAGCGCCTCGCTGTGGACTTTCCAGCGTCCAGAAATGTGAACCAGGAGATTCTGTTCATATAAATCACCCAGCCTCAGGGCATTCCGTTACAACAGCACAAAGCAAACTAAGACACACCATCTAGAAAGGACAACACTCTTTCTGAGACGTGGAGAGGACAGCACAGGTAGGGAAGCAGAGCCAGCCAGGAACCTGTTGGGGGTACAGGGTGGGTGCACAGAACCCAAAAATCAGGTGGGGCGGGGGGGGCAGATTGAGTTTTACTGACTCTAGAACCAGGTGCTGGGTTTGTCACAGGCTGAGTGACCTCCGGCAGGTTCTCGGACCTCTCTGTGCCGCCTCTTCCTCCTCTTTAATGTGAAGCGGCATCTGCACTCTGCTCACAGGACTGAGGTGAAAATAAAGGCATTTAATACATATTTGCTCTTATTGATAGTATTCAAACCCCTTCTGCTTTTTAATCTAGAAAGCTCTAGAAACAGAAGGTTTTTACTGTTAAGGGGAAAATAAGGGAAAAGAGGAGGAGGAGCCATTGGATGCCTGCTATTCATCAGGAGCTCTCCCCGTGCTAGACATTGCAGTAAGGCTCACATTGGATGCTCTGTGGCATCCTCACCACCCTGCAGGTAGCTCTCGTCCCCGTCTCACATTTGGGAACGAGTGGTGAGCTCTGCAGGGAACAGCCCCAGCTTCAGCCTCTTAGCCCGCGGCCAGATGCCTCCATGCCTGGTGGTCACCCAGCAGTAGCAAAAGCACATGCTCACTGCGCTCCCTTCCCAATGCATGTGGCAGAATGGGACACTCTTCCATGGTCTCTGCCCTGCATGCTTCCTCAGTGAAAAGACACCAAGCAGGTGGCTGATCACACGTGACAACACTTGTCAAAGCAGACATGAAATGGGGCAGGGACAGGAGACAGAACAGCAGTCACCAGCACCAGTCCCTTCCAGCACCAGCCCGAAGGACAACACCCCCAGTACTGTCGAAACCACACTACTGTCAACTTTCCCAAATATTTCCACATGACTTGGCAATAGCCATCAACATTACCAGTAAGCCTAAGCTTTGAACTCTCTGCCTGGAAATGTCTACAGTAACAGCAGGGCAGAAGTGCAGGATGGTATCCACTCCACGGACTTGGAGACAATCAGAGGGTCCGACGGGGCAGTGTTTAGCAAATTGTAGTTATACTTTTACTTTTATCATCATTATTTCAAAGACTGAGTCTCACTCTGTCACCAGGCTGGAGTGCAGTGGTGCAATCAGAGCTCAGTGCAGCCTCAAACTCCTGGGCTCAAGCAATCCTCCCTCCTCAGCCTGTGCCACCACACCCAGCTAAGTGATATAATTAAACCCCACACACCCACTAAAGAAATGGCTTGGCCCTTAACTTATTGAGTGGGTAAGGATTCCTCGTGAAGATTAAGCTACAGAAATGAGTACAGAAACAACGGCACAGAAAACGTCTGGAGTGTTGTTCCCCAGACTAACTGATACCAGGTCTGGGGAGGGGCTTACGGTGGCAACAGGGGCTTTGCGTGAATTTCACACGAAGCCGGGCAGCTTCACAACGGACATCCTGCTGGACCGTATTGGCTCTAAGGGTCTGGGGCAAGCCCACCTCCCCTGCTGCAGGGCAGGCCACTCACCTGACCCCAGGGTCCGCAAGGAGGAGCGATCGTACTTCTTCACCCAGGCATCACCATATTTCAGCAACAGCCGGATAGCCGTTGGGGCACCATAGAACTGATTGATCTTTAACCTCTCTACTGTCTCCCAGTACCGACCTACGGAAAGGCCCAAGTTCGGTGTCAGCAGGAGAGCCCACCAAACACAGTCTACTTTAAACTTAGAGATCAGCCAAGACTTCCTGCGTGCTGGGCATGTGCAGACATGCATATGTCCATAAAAAGGGATTCCCCCCACCAGTGAAAGACGGAAAGAAGCCCCATGGGATGGGTCCCCAGTGGCCGCTCTCCTCCCAGCACTCACTCACTCCCCAGATCCATGGGCGGACATTCAGGAACAGTCTCCACCTGGCTGAGGGAGATGGCCCAGTTCAAGGCAATACTACATGGATTTAATAACCTATGGGGCATTACCACAGAGCTTTCACTCTGTCACTCTTACATGGGCCCTAGACTGGTACTTCTCCTGGTGACAGCACAGCTGCCACTTCGTGTGTCCCGGAAAGCAGGCCCACGTGCATGGCATGCACACCTGATTCCTGTAAACCCACCACCACACCATTCCCTCCACATAGGACACTGAGCTTCAGGTGGCTGAAGTGGTGGCCTGAGATGGCACCTGGGCCATGGCTCTTAGTCCCTGGACTTGCCCCTGTGACTTCTTCCTTGAGCACACCCAGCCCCCGAAGGCAGGAATGGAGCACGGGGAGGTGATGACGCACACAGCTGTCAGCACCGTGGAACGCCCGGGCTGCAGCCTCTGGGCAGAGCCACCATGATCTGCTTACATTAAGCAAATTATTTGGAGACGCTGTGGTGTGTGGGAGGACGATGCCCAAGGGAGCCAGACATCACCTTGTCCTCAAAGTCATCTCAATTTAATGGAGACGGTTCTAGGCCATGCATAACATGGTGTGAGGAATGGCTCTGAAGGTTCGGGGGCAGGGCTGGGGAAACAGAAGAGGTGGGCAGCTGGCCCTGGCTTCAAGAAAGGGCTGGATCTGGGCAGGTGGCCTAGAGGTGAGGCAGATGCCAGTGATGGCCGAGGCCTGCAGTGTAAGAGTGCTGGAGCAGGGCCTATAGACGTCCTCTGGTGCCAAGCCACACTTGCTGTTGCTGCCCATCGGCTCTTCCTGAAGACCCAGTTCCTGGCCCCACCAGGCATCTTGACAGCAGGACCTCGAGAACCATACCCTCACCAGAGCCCGGGCATCAGCCTTCCATGAAGCTCTCTGCAAGCCTCCAGCCTCGGGCTCCCTCCCCTGACACCAGCAGGGGGTGTCAAGCAGGGTTCACCATCCTTACCAGCATTGGGGTAAACTGGGGTGCTCTCAAAAAGGACGCTGGTGGCACCGTTGCAGAGAGGCCCATACACCACGTAGCTGTGTCCTGTAATCCAGCCGATGTCGGCCACACAGCCAAAGATGTCACCTGGCTGGTGGTCGAACACAAGCTGCAGAGACAGGAAGGGAGCGTCCGGAGCTTGGTCTCTGCCCCACCGTGTTCGCCGCGTCACTAGGAGACAGCCGTGTGTGTTGCAGTCCTTAGCTGTGAGAGGCGGCTGGGACAGGCGGGGGCACTGCAGAGCCGTCCAGTTGTATGTTTAATGCATGGGCACCTTTCTGCATTACCTTATGCCACGATTTTTTAAATCCCTTAAAAATTGCAAAAAATAAAAGCCAAAAAAGGCCAAGAATGGCATCAAGCACCATCAGCTTTGAGGGGCATGAGAGGACAGACCTCTGAAACCCCTTCATTCTTCCACAGCAGCAGACTGGAGCCTGATCCCATCTGAGGATCCAACCTCCCATGTGCAGGAAATGCAGAGGGTAGAGGGACAGTGGGCACACCCCAGACCAAAGGACACCAGAGAAAATGGCTGGACGCGACAACGGCCAAGTGTAAGGAAACGGGGGAGCCTCCACTTAAAAAGATTTAAAAGACATATCAAGGCGTGGTGGCTCACACCTCTAATCCCAGCACTTTGAGAGGCCAAAGCGGGCAGATCACTTGAGGTCAGGAGTTCAAAACCAGCCTGGCCAACATGCCAAAACCCCGGCTCTACTAAAAATACAAAAATATTAGCTGGGGATGGTGGCGCATGCCTGTAATCCCAGCTACTCAGGAAGCTGAGACAGGAGAGTCACTTGAACTCAGGAGGCAGAGGTTGCAGTGAGCCCCATGAACGCACATTTGGGTCACACAACTATTGGAAGAAAAACACAGGGCAGGGGCATGAGACACATCAGGACATAGAGGAATGGGCCATGGCCAGATGGGCCTCGAAGGGACTGCTGAGGAAATGGCAACCTTCCATTTCTTGATCAAAGTGGCATTTACCTCATAATAATTTATTAAGCCACACATTCAAGTTGGGTGGTTTTCTGTACCTGCTCTAAAAAACACTTTCAAAGATCTTTGGGCGAGCGGCCCCCAGTGTGCCGCTGCTGCAGTTACATGGACAATTCTCTGGGACTTTCCAGGCAGGGCAGTGGGGGCCTGCGGCAGCCAGGGCCCTGAGGAGCTGTGGGGTGGGGGGACTCAAGAGGCCCTGCCCCGAACAGGCCAGGAAGAAGCACTGGCTTCTCATCCGTACAGGCCCCGCTGTGCAGCAGGACTTCAGCTCTGCCCCTGCCCAGAGCCCACCGAGGGCCCGGCACCGCCCTGCCTGGGCCCGTACCTTGTGGGTCACAGCAGCGTAGAGCAGGTAGCCCGCCTGGGTATGGACGACGCCCTTGGGCAACCCGGTGCTCCCCGAGGTATACAGCATGAAGAGCATGTCCTCGCTGCCCATGCTCTCTGGGGCGCACACAGGGTCCTCCTTGGCCATTTCCTGCAAGGGAGAAGAAACGAACGGCCCGCCAAGGGCACTCAGCCTCCCTGAGAGCAGCACTTCCCCTCCGTGGCAGGACTTGGCACATGGGATTCAGAGTTCACCTGCTTTGACCTGCTCAGGTTCAATCCCAAATGTGGAAAGGACACAGAACAAAAGGGTGGTGCAATCATTTGTTACAGCAAGTGTTTCACTTGCTTTCGGTGCTGGACTTCTGTCTTCCCAGTTAGGACTCAAGCCCATCAAATGCGGCAGAGGAACCCTGGACGCCTCTAGGAAACCCAAACTGAGAACCGCAAGCCGAGAAGCCTCAGAGCCGCTCACTTGATAATGACTCTCCTCCTCACACTGTGCAAAGCGAGGTGACCCACCTGCTCCAGCGGGACGTCCAGATCCCCCATGTGGACCTTGCTGTCTGTCCTGTGAGCCACCAGGACACGCTGCACAGTGGGGCAGTGCTTCACAGCCTGGTCCACTATTCTCTTCAGCTCCACCACACGCCCGCCCCGGAGTCCTTGGTTGAAGGTGATAACCACCTTGCACTTGGCTAGCAGAGACAACACAGACATTTCCGATCAGTCTCCTCTCCTCATAGCTCTGCGTCACACAGGACATCCCAGGCCGAGGAGTGTGACAGACTCAGTCCAATCTTGAGTAAAAAACTCAACAAAAAATGTGAGGGGCTGCCTGCTCTCCAGCCCTTGTGTGCCGTGAAGAAGTGCCAGGGCTTTGCCCAGCTCTGAGGATAAGGGTAAGGAACCAGAGAGAGATTACTCTGAAGCTCAACTCTTCCTCCTTGCGTCAGCACCATAATCATAATTTCCCAACCAGACTTCCACCCTTCTCTCCCGTCTGCCAAGGAGTGAACCCCAGGAGAGGGGCCATCATACCACCTGCAGCAATCCTGGTGACAGAGAAACACAGAGAGGCAGAGACGGAGAAATCTGGAAACCAGAGGCCAAGCCTGAAGGTGTCCCGTGTGGCCAGGCCGTGTCTAGAGTGACGTGTGTGGGCTAAGAGCCTTCACTGTCCAGAGATCAGAAGCCACACCCGCTTTATCTGACTCCAGATCCGCAGAGACAGTCCACCCCTTCACTCCTCAGCATAGAAGGTTTCCAGCTGTTGCCCTGCGGGACCTTCCCCGCACACCTCCAGCCTCATCTCACCCTCCATATCTCCCTTCCGCTGCACGGCACCTGCCTCCACTAGACCCTCATGCTGCACTCCTCCCCCGACTCAGCCTGTGCCTCTGCCTAGGCCCTCATGCTGCACTCCTCCCCCGACTCAGCCTGTGCCTCTGCCTAGGCCCTCATGCTGCACTCCTCCCCGACTCAGCCTGTGCCTCCACTAGGCCCTCATGCTGCACTCCTCCCCCACTCAGCCTGTGCCTCTGCCTAGGCCCTCATGCTGCACTCCTCCCTGACTCAGCCTGTGCCTCTGCCTAGGCGCTCATGCTGCACTCCTCCCTGACTCAGCCTGTGCCTTCACTAGGCCCTCATGCTGCACTCCTCCCCCACTCAGCCTGTGCCTCTGCCTAGGCGCTCATGCTGCACTCCTCCCGGACTCAGCCTGTGCCTTCACTAGGCCCTCATGCTGCACTCCTCCCCCACTCAACCTGTGCCTCTGCCTAGGCCCTCCACCTGGAACTCTCCCTTTAAACCTGACTAAACTCAGTGCACCCAGATCTCAGCCCACAGAACAAATTCTTCAGCCATGTGCCTCTCCCCAGTAGCATCTGTCATTTGTCTGTGTGACATTTTATTAACGTCTGCACTTCTGTGGTCCCCACACTGATGACCAGGCCCCCAGAAAAAGGATCAAGGAACTCTAGGGTTCCTCCCTCCCCAGGCCCACTTCCTCACCATCTTTGATCCTCCCAGCTAAGGACTCCGCACTGAAGCCAGCGAAGACGACTGTGTGGACAGCTCCGATCCTGGCACAGGCCAGCATTGCTGCCACAGCCAATGGGGACACCGGCATGTAGATGGCAACACGGTCCCCACGGTGGACTCCATACCTCTTCAGTGTGTTGGCCAGGCGGCATGTGGTCTCCAGCAGTTCCCTGCAGCACAGGGAAGAGAAAGCCATCAGAGACAGACGAGGGCCAAAACGCAGAACAGTTTGGGGTGGAACAACACTGCAAATTGTATGCTGTATACACCCAGCCCAGTGCCAGGATGGCAAGCACTTGAATACTTAGGGCATAGAAAGCACTTTTCCAGAAAAAGCAAAGTTTTAACACTTGTAGATCGCTATTGGCAGAGATTCACTGCCACATCACTAGGGTGATAAGGTTCTCCTTAAGTCTACTTAGGGCAAACAGGAGCATAGGAGCCACAGTGACACCATTTAGAATTAATTCCATTTTTTTTTTTTGAGACAGTTTCGCTCTTGTTACCCAGGCTGGAGGGCAATGGCTCGATCTCGGCTCACTGCAACCTCTGCCTCCTGGGTTCAGGCAATTCTCCTGCCTCAGCCTCCTGAGTAGCTGGGATTACAGGCACGCGCCACCATGCCCAGCTAATTTTTGTATTTTTAGTAGAGATGGGGTTTCACCTCATTGACCAGGATTGTCTCTATCTCTTGACCTCGTGATCCACCCACCTCAGCCTCCCAAAGTGCTGGGATTATAGACGTGAGCGAATTAATACCTGCAAAGACAAACGCTTGCAACAGCAGAATGTCCAGATGTCCCAAAATTACATTGTATCACATACGCTTTTTTTTTTTTTTTTTTTTTTTTTTTGATACAGGGTCTCGCTCAGTCACCCAGGCTGGAGTGGAGTGGTGCAATCTCAGCTCAGTGCAACCTCCGCCGCCCGGGTTCAAGTGATTCTCCTGCCTCAGTCTCCTGAGTAGCTGGGACTACAGGCGCCCACCACCCCCAGCTAATTTTTGTATTTTTAGTAGAGACGGGGTTTCACCATATTGGCCAGGCTGGTCCTGAGCTCCTGACCTCATGATCCGCCCGTGTCGGCCTCCCAAAGTGCTGGAACTACAGGTGTGGGCCACCGAAGCAGCCAGCAAAGATGATTATAGGCACGCTTTGATGTTCTGAGGCACTGAAATGCGGAGGATAACTTTCTTTCCATCAACAAAGAAACAAATGTCAGGTTGTCAGCCTACCCGCAGGGAACCATAGCTTAGCTTTTACATAGATAAGAGCTCTATATAAGAAAAACAAAAAACAAAGGCATTCATTCCTCTTCTCGCTGAGAATGCCCTACTACGTAACTGAGTAGCTTTCAATAAACCATCTCTTCTCGCTGCGCTTTCCACTGGCCTTGGATTCCTTCCTGACAAGATCCAAGAACCCTCCCTTGGGATCTAGATGGGGATCCCCTTTTCTAGCAGCAGTTTCTCAGAGGACCACAAGTGTCTGAAGCATAGATCATTATGGTTCCAAAACTTCTAAAAACGTTGCCCTCCAAAACAAAGACGGATCTCATAAGACATTGAGTCGAGAAATGACAGGTCCCAGATTTCCGAATCAACACAGGCCAGGGGCACCAAGCAACGTTCTCAGTTGGCAGGGCGCCAGGCCCAGACAGGGTGAACCCCAGCTCTGTGAAGCCACAGTGAGTCCACAGGGAGGGAAGGCCGTATGCAGGGCAGCCACATCTCCCTGCAGCCCCGAGACAGCACGGGTGAGTAGAGCAAGCAGCCAGGCTTTCACCCCAAGCTAGGGGCCATGGACGAGGGGAAGGGAAAATGCTGGACACAAGATGGGTGAGGGCCATCCCTGCGGCCGCCATGTCCTCTGCCACATGTCCCGCGTCTACATGGCGTGGGTGCACTTCCTCTCTGGCCAGTCTAGGTCCTATCACCAGGTTTACCTGCCAATCAGGGCACAGCATCTCCCTGGGCAAGCGGATTGGCTCAGCACTGCCACCTGAGCCAACCCGGTGCAATCAGAGTCCACCATCCTGAAACTGGGAGCTCTCGAGAGCCACCCGCTTGCCGGCCGCACAGCAGAAAGTGGAGGAAGCAGAAGCTACCCCAAGGTGGGTTTTCCTTCCTGCGCCTCATCCCTGTGAATCTGGACCTGGCAGTTGCATTAACCACTTTCCCACTCTTAATGTACTGATTTTAATTATTTGCAACAAAAAGAGCTAACAAAGAAGGAAGAATGAGGGGAAGCCAAGGCCGCTTCTCTCCGGGCGGGGCAGGCCTCCAGCCGGCGACCCCTGCCCTCTGCGGCGTCCCAGAGAACAGACCTTCCTCAGGCTCGCAAGGCCCCTGGCAGCGTGTTTGCACAGCTTTCCCCCTTCAAAGGGTAGTCAGGGAAAGGGCTCCCAGGAACAGTGGAGCTCAACATTCCGGGATACCAAAGCGGAATGAAAATGAGCGGTCCACATCTCAGGCAGGGGCCTCAAGGAGGCCTTTGTTTCTTCCCAAGGCCGGCTACAGAGGGGACCACATGAGAACCAGATCGCAAGGCCAGCCCGCGGTTCTCCCCGCACCCAGCACGCCTGCCCGGCCTGGCTCCAGCGGCATCTTCTGTAGGATTTCATCTTTCTCCTTCAGGCTTTCAGAAGGACAAAGACGCCATTCAGTGGTGCCCGGCCCCCCACCCCTTGCCAAGGTTTATGATAAAAGACAGAACACTATCCCGGAAAACCCCCAACACCGAGCTCTACGGAATCTAGGGCTCAGAAACACTCCTGCTACTCCAGGGAGGCGGCTGGCGTTGCCTTCACTCAACATCTTCAGCCAGACTCCATTTTCATAGTTCTGAGAGCTTAAGCCTCACAACTAGGAGAGATGAATGCTTGAGTGTATGCTCACCAGGAATGGGGATGAAATTCTGTCCCTGTTGTGCAGATGGAGGGCAGCAATCTGAAGCCAAGAAAGGACATTGGGCTGTCCCTACTCCAAATCTACCTAGGGTAGATTTCTGCAGTAGCTGCCTAGGCATGGGAGCTTACCTTTCCGAGCTGCCACGTGATCATCTGAGAAACAGCAGGTGCCCTCCACCGTGTACAGCTGTCACAAGTATTCATTAGAAGCAAGAATGACTTGGCACTCTGCCAGACATTCAGTAGGTATCGTCTTTCCCAGCAGACCGACACTCAGAAATCTTTGTTTGAAATCATTTTCTAAAATGACGAAAATCAGCTAACTCACTTCAGTGAATTCCTAAGACGTGAAAAATCCTGTTCTAAGAACCTTGGGGTTGAGTGGGGTGTTTGCATCGGAGAAACGAATTGACAGGGAAAGTGTCCTCCAGGAGTGCAGCTACAACGGGGAAATGACGGCACATGGGAAGGTATGCAGGGTGCTGAGCAGCTCAGCTTGGCGGCCCGACTGCTAGGGGTGGCAGAGAAGGACAGCAGGAACTTTCTGGATAGATTGGCTATTGGGGGGAGGACTGAGGCAAAAAGAAGAGTGGGGACTTCTTCCCTTTAGGGGCAGAAGTCACCCAGTCATTGGAGCTGGACAGCTAAACGACAGCCTCCAGGGAGGGTCTAGAGATCAGGGTGCTCTGGAGGACTGAGGGGCCTCAACATGGGCCCCACAGCTGCAGCCGGGTCTGGTGAGTCCCACACTTTTGCTGCTGAGTCTAGAGGAGAGGCTTCTGATAAAGGACTTGATCCAGGTAAATCTCAGAGCTCTGTCCCTTCCTATTTTCTCTGCCAAAGTCATAAATAAACCTTTAATTGGAAAAGATCCTTGGACGTCATGCGGTGCAGCCTCCCTGGGGCTCTGAAATCTGGCAGCCACATTCCCACCCACAGCAGTCCAGCCTCTGCTTAAACTTCACACTGCCAGAGCTCACTTCGTGGGGCCACCTCTCTGTCACTTTAATAGGAAAACAGTCTACCAAAAATTGGACCAAGATTTACAGCTCTTCAAATGCTACCCCCAGTCCTACCCTTAGTCTTTTAAAGCTGCCCAGAATAAATCTAATTTGTCAGTGACAACTCTTCAAATTCCTGAATACTCCCCGCCCCTCATCTTCTTTGAAGCTTTTACTCCCCCAGGTTCTCTGGTCTAGCCCTCCATGACCACACTCAAAATACCAAAGTTTTGGGGGTGTCTTGGTAGACACCCCACACTATCAAATGGACCCCCACATTCTCGTGGTGCCTGCCCAAAGCCGAATGTGGATACCGAGACCCTTGATCTCAATTCTATATTTAATCATGTTAATTAAGACCGTATGGATTTTTTTTTTTTTTTTTTTTTTTTGAGACAGAGTTTTGCTCTTATTGCCCAGGCTAGAGTGCAATGACAAGATCTCGGCTCATTGAAACCTCTGCCTCCCGGGTTCAAGTAATTCTCCTGCCTCAGCCTCCCAAGTAGCTGGGATTACAGGCATGTGCCATCACGCCTGGCTAACTTTGTATTTTTAGTAGAGACAGGGTTTCACCATGTTGGCAGGCTGGTCTCGAACTCCTGACCTCAGGTGATCCAGCTGCCCCGGCCTCCCAAAGTGCTGGGATTGCAGGTGTGAGCTACCATGCCCAGCCGACGATATGGATTTTTAAAACACCTGACAGGTGGCTCAAATTCAACATGAGGTCACTAGCCCGCAACCTCCCAACCCCTAGTGACAGATGCCCTTTAATGGGGCTTTCTCATATTATGGTCATGGAAATGTTTTGTATCTTTTTAAAGCAGACTTTCAGTTTATCCCAATCTAATTCCATCTCAATTTCTCCACATTTCTCCAGCTGATCTTTTTTTTTCTTTTCTTTTTTTTTTTTTTTTTTTTTTGAGATGGGGTCTCGTTCTATCACCCAGGCTAGAGTGCAGTGGCACGATCTCGGCTTTCTGCAACCTCTGCCTCCCAGGTTCAAGGGATTCTCCTGCCTCAGCCTTCTGAGTAGCTGGGATTATGGGCACGAACTACCACGCCTGGCTAATTTTTGTATTTTTAGTAGAAATAGGTTTCACCATGTTGGCCAGGCTGGTCCTGAACGCCTGACCTCAAGTGATCCACCCGCCTGGGCCTCCCAAAGTGCTAGAATTACAGGCATGAGCCGCCACACCTGGCCGAATTTTGAAGCCTGGATTTTTAAGTTTAAACTCTCAGTTTTCATAGCAATATCTTCCAGA